TCTGCATTCTATGGTTTGTCTTCTATATTGCTGTAGTATATATTACTGCGGAATAGCTATTATGAGGCATCGTAAATACCAGTTTACAGGCTCTACAGTCTGGGGAATGGGCAAAGGTGGCAGAGTTGCTGGACTTTTGTCTTTTAAACGGAGTAGATGAAGTTTGTTGGTAGACAGGGATCTAGGTCTATAAAAAAACTCATTGCAAGGTTGTGGCAGGCACTGCTTATTTGTGTCAGCTTTACTTCGGCTGAGTAGTAAGTACTGTACTAAGACTCTTACCATGCATTGGATCTCTAGTTACTTTAACCAAAATTAGCTGGTGTTGCTGGGTTGATCAGATCTATGGATGGACCTCTCAATACCTAGTTAACGGATAGCCATGTGTTAGAACTCAATTTTAATCACTTGGTTATAGATAGTCCCATTCTTTATGCGGTACTTTGAATTTGTTCCCGTGTGTCATTCTAAAAGGTAATTCTTTGCCCTACAACATGGCGAAGTCATTGGCATATCCCCCCGTGGGGTAGCTTTAATGTGGATCGCCCAAACGTTAACGTATGTCTTAAAACACACATACAAATACGCACTTAATCTGTGTCCATTTTCCAAGTGTGCTACTTGTTCTCATGCTTACGCGAGTCCAAAGTTTGGAAACCTGGTATAACGAGGCTCTGCACACAGTTGCCTATTTATTCGTCTTTTTTAGGTGCAAACAGCTCGTCTCTCGTCTGAACCATGCCTTATTTGCTAACGTGAACGCCACAACACGAATGGTAATTGTCTTCCTCGAATGCTTGTTTATACAAAAACCTCGCATACGAACAAGCTAACGCAGGGCGGTCTTTTGTGGGCATTAGGCAGTGGTGCAATCTCCACACTGGCTAGCGTAAATTATCCAAAATAGTAAACACTTTCTTTCCTCCTTCCACTCCTTAATCGACCGAAAGGATGGTTTGGTGATTGGGAGGGACTTAAATACTGACGAATTTGATAAATTTGCAAGCCCACCTTCACAGAAGTGCCTATACTACATAAGAGTACGAACAAACGTGTGACTAGTATCGAGCACTTTGGACTCTCCGTATGCCTAAGGTAGTACCGAGTTTGCAGATCTTCATTGTCTCCAATTTTTGTGCTTATCACTATCTGCTTGTAAAATGGACCCCACTGAATGGCAACTGCGTGCAATGTGCCCTTTTTGTATGGTATTACAAAATTTGTAGATTCCTCGTATTTCTGGTGTTTGACTTTTAACTACTGTGACGCTAAGCCATCATTGTTTGTATTCCAAAATCGCGTTTATATTTTGGCGTCGATTACTAACGGTGGGGTTATACTTGTCAAGTAATGCCATTGTGTGTATCACTGCCATGGAAGCCTTCCAGTTTTCACGTGACAGTGAAACGAAGGTCCAGGTTTGGCTCGAATGCCTCTCTTTTCATACTTAGTTTAAGTTCAGTCGTGGCATTAAATAAGGTAATAGTTGCCATGAGACGTTTCTTTATTGTTGCTGGGAAGTTGTGACTTGTTCTAAGGAATATATCAATTGCATAACATCATGCCAGATCTTAAAAGTTAGTTAGTGACTGCATTGTCTCGCTACCATGAGGCTATAGGTTGCAGTGTCTGGATGATTTCTTAGACATGAATCAAACAAATTTGTGAACATTGGTGGGAAAGTGGTCTACTCTACGTTTTCGTTTTCTACAACTGTCAGTGAGAAAAATCCCCTTAGTAGTTGTTCTGACTCTCTTTGAATAAGTAACTATTGAGATTGCCAATCTGTGCTTACAAAGCAAATGTTGATACATACTGCTCGGCTAATTGATGCAAATCGGGTCTTTTGTGGCTGGTGACTTGGTATCACAGTGCAGCAAATTCAGCCGATGACAATCGTAAACCTACTGCTTTACCCTCAATAGTCACGTGCTTCCCAAGTCACGGGTCCTTACCACTGATGCTTTGATAATTTTTAGCCACTGACAAATCGGGTGCAACAGATGGAAATGCTGCAGTCAACTTTTCTCTCCCACCCAGTTCCTCTGGAGCCTCCATCCCCATGCGAATTGGATCAACCACCAGTTGTGGTCGATTCACGTTGTGTCTGGTACAATCGAGCTGGTGACTTAAACGGTGTCTACACAGCCACTAAGGTTCGTCTTTTAGCCTCGCTTTACGTCACATCACTGAATTTGATTTGGGGCTTTTAATGGAAAAGCCAAAAGCAGCATTCTCTCATCATTTTCACGTCCTTGCCCCAATGTTTAACCGTCTTAGGTGGTGAAGTCACCTACCCATAAGTAAGACAGCCAGTTGCATTTTGCCTTTTCAAACTTTTTTACCTGTCGACATACAGATTCTTTATTATCCATCTCATTAATGGCGGGGCAACATTTCTTCTGACCTAGTCAACCGCAGTCCCACGGCCATTTGTCCACCTTTTCGCAATGTGTTAACAGCCTGAGTGTAGAAATCAACTTGTGAGGTTTCATTGTGTCCCCCATTTCGGCGTCTTAACTTTCCACTGGCACGGGTTGGGCCGGATGCAATCCACGCCTAATGCGATGCGTCCCTAATGGCTTGCGTGTAGTACCTGCCGACTCCTCATAGCTTTGAGATTAGTCTGTTTAGTGATTGATGGTAATCACGCTTCAGCCATTGTTCACTTGTCAGTGTGACTTGCGTCGTCGTCCACTACTTAAAGCTGAATCGGAGGTGCGTCGATTGTACCGCCATTATTATGCAGTTTCTTTTCGCCTACCTGTTTGAATTGCGTCTTGGTGGGGCAATTATCATTTCTCATTTCTCGTTTTTACCCTCCAGCGGTGTGATTTCCTCGTGATTACGTCAATAACTCTGCACTGTGTACAATCAAAACGTGAAGCAGATTAAGTGAAAGTGCAGCCTGAAAGGTCCTTCTTTTGAGTAAAAAGTTTAATATCAAAAGAACACTCTTATTTTTATCAACAATGGGAGGTGATGTTTATGTTTCACCGTTAATCCAGTTCCAGGGCATCAAATCCAACTTTGTTACTCTTATCACCTTCCTTTTCCGTCTCATTACTGACTTCATTTGACAATACTTCAAAGAGATGCTGTGCTATGCCTAGCTTTGGCAACGAACTGAAGGTAAACGAGATTTATATTGGACAAGTAAGAGCATAAAATGAGGATTTTTCAACCACACAATCTCCTCTTTACCTAATCTTGTCCTCGGTTAGGCTAATATTTAACCTCCATTCTCTTCTCCTCTGGTATGACAATGTCCATCATTGTCTTGCGTCGCCTTATGAGTTGCATAAGTTGTAGCTTACCTTTTTATACTAACATTGAGTGGGTACTTATCCTGGTATCACCTACAATCCCCTTGTTTTCCTACTTACGTTCTTACAATTTCACTGTGGGGCATTCCTGCCGTGAGTCTATTCTAACACTAAGAAGATCAAGCATCAAGCATTTAAGGTGTAGTTGGTGACTGTTAATTTACATGCTGGATGTTGATTCGAATTGGGCTACAAAGCGGATTTGCGCTTCTCTCCTTAAGTTTGTGGCCCCAACTCCCTCCAATGGCTGTGCCTCAAAGTTATTGTGTAAGTGTCATTTCTTGGCTACCAAGCAGAAGAAGACGGGACGAGATAAGGGCTCATTAAAATGGCTCATTAGTCATAGCAGTAGAAAAGATTGCTTGGTTAAACCTCTCTTAAGTGGTAGCATGACCCACTAATCATCATTGCTGAAGTTACTGTTAAGCACGCCTTGTGTTGGAGAAAAAGACAATTTGTGCTGTCTGTTGCTGCCGGTCAACTGGCACTCCACTCCCGATGTGAATGATCGACCTGAGAATGCTTTGGACACAAAAGGGGTGAAAAGTAAGCCTTATAATGCTTTTGTGCGTCTCACTTCCCCTCCAGTTGCCACTGGCACTGGGTAAGCAGTAGGTCAAATTCTAGATGCCCAATTGCTTTACGTTCTTCTCTAATGTCACGTTCACGTCGATTAGTTGTTCCCATTGTGGTGCCTTTGGCAACTTTTCATCACAGTCACCCACTTTGTCGTTTGCTCAACAGTGGGGTGGGGATGAGTCAGTTGATGTGCAGCTCTCCCTTTTTTTCTTGTACTTTATAACTGATACCGTGTCTCCGATATTGGATGATAGCTGGAAAAAACTGAGTTTGTCAACTGTATCACATCAAAGTTCGCATTTCTTTTAAGAGAAAATGAATGCACCTTCGCTCTCTCAAGTGCTTCGTAATCAACAAAGAGAGGCGTTAGAACCAGTTTTTGTTCCTCACCTTCACTAACAAAAGTTGATAGTGCCATTTCTTACGGTCATAACCAGTTACTGCGACATAATTGGCTTTGAGGTCATTTGTTTTGGGCTGCACACTTAGAGATCTTGACGCTGTTGAATATCCTTGAGGATTGCTGGCTGCCTTGGGCGTTTTGGTAATGATTTAACCGAATCTTCAATTTCCTTTTTAGTTTCTTTTCTCCTCCAAAAGTAGGAGTGTTGAACATCGGCTCCTGTATCTCATATTTTCTTCTTCATTACATTTTATGCTCCTCCTTTACCTCTAATATCTCCGCCTACGTGCTACTTTAAATTTACCGGGTTGTCATCTAAACTAGTAGAGAGGTTAAGCCATGTGATCAGTAATATGATCCGATTAGATTGGGTGAACAGTACCACACACCATTGCTGTGAAAGAGTGATTTGAAGCTAATGGACTTCTTGCATCTTAGTAAATTTTCACAAGCTTTAATTGGCAAATCAGATTTTGTTTGTTCGCATTGTCATTGTATGACTACACAGGGAAATGGCATCAGATTTCAACCTCAAACAAGGCCAGCACATGCGCAGAAAGTGAGTTGACTACTTAACCGCTGTCATGAGTCAGCACTAAAGTGGCATAAGTGGAGGGAAAGTTCCACTCTTCGCTGACGATTTGTAAGGAAGCAGGTAGATCTGAAATCCTACGAAATCACATTCATTGCTCTTAAATGTTGGATCTCCATAAAAAGGGAAGATCTCTCTCATTCTTATCGTTAAATAATGATCTATGTTTTAATCCAACTTCCCTGCGAGAGAATTTATAAACAAATGGTGCAAATCATTTGCTCCATCCAATCGCAATACGAGAAGGTCGGTTAAGGGAGGAGGCTTAAGAAAGTTGACTGTCAGCCCATTTGTTTAATTGCTATTGTCTGACGCCAAATGCCAGTCACTTTTTTTACCAGCTGCGTTTATAAACTACGTCACCCCTATATGTTTGCTGATCGAAAACATTCTACATTTGCATTCTTGCTGTAAACTCAATTACTCTCTCTGTGGCACAGAGCAATCCAATCAAATATCATCATAAATCGGTAAAGAAGGCATGTCACGTATGGGTGACATGGGTGGGAAACTTGTCACAAATTCGCAGTTATGCCGATTTTTTTAACGCAGGTTGGCAACGACATTGGCAAGTTTTCATTCCTCGTGTCAGTTATTTATGACATCCTGATCACATGTAAGCCAGGCGTCACGAATGTGTGACGTGTGTTTTGATGCGCTAAACAAAAAATGGAACAACTGGGTTATGGTAATTGTTTTCCTTGGACAACTTGAAAATGGATATTTTAATATTTATTTATTTGGACACACACAGAAGACGTAAATCAGTAATCCAGTCGTAAGATTGACATACAACAAGGCAATTTAACCCAGCAAAATGACTTATTATTGCTATTGACATAGCGCCAACAATGGTTTTGTTCAAGTTAACGACTACTGCTGTCGATGGAGCCGACACTATTCGAGACTTCCGAACGACGTAATACTTCTAGGGTTTAATCCGACGACCTTATGAGGAGAAGATAAGGGCTCGAGGCCTCCCATAAATGAGGAAATCCCATTTTCGGAGGTTGCATCTATTTTAGTGTCTCCATTGACATCGTGGCTCATCAAAGTGGTGAATGAAAAGAAACGTCCGATGCAGTCTTGTAGGAGTGCTATGGACACTTTCAGTTTACCGAATTGGAGGTTAGGTTCTGCGATTCATGGAACTGTCGAGGAGGGATAATTTGCTGCCATTAAATGCCGTATAATGTGTTTAGAAGGCCTGCCCATAATTTCAATTATTTCCCTTACTTTTTCCTATTTCCCAATTCATTTAAATGAAGCGCTAATTCCCCACCTTGTTGGCATCGCAAGAAGAAAAGGTTGAATAAAATTGACATTTTGAAGTAGTCCAACAGACTGTAATTGCGGTGTTCGGTTCACTTTAGGATAACCAGGAAAGTGTCCAATAATTCATATTCACAGAAGTAAAATTTTTCCTTTTCCCATTTCGATGGTATTTCATGAAACATGGCCTTCGTCAAATTCGCCGCTTGAAATTCCTGTTTGCAGCTTCCAAGAGCTTGCTATTAACCGTATAAAAGTATTTGCTGAAACCGTCATTATCATTTACTCGTGTTATTGCTACGATGCTGTAAAAGTGTCAATCATAGCTGATTAAAGCGCATTTGATTTGAACCGAATTGCAATACTAACTTCACGTGTACAGTCGAATTCTCTCCTTTCTTTGTGCCTCCATATCAAGTTGGAAATTTTTGTCCTGCAGATGGATTAAAGCTGGATGACTGACTGATAGATGATTTCTGTAGTAACCCGCGTTGCCCGCGTAACTTTTTTTTTCATCTCTCTCTTGGGTAGGACACCTGCACTTACTTCAAGATCGGACCGTTGACTGGAGAGCCTGACGAACGGGTGCTTCTCCTTCCTACTGATGTAAGTTATCGCACAACGCAGTCTTGTATTGTCCCTTTTTGTTCTTCTCTCCCGTGCACACTTCATCTCTTCCTTGTTTGTAGGTTGATGTAAGAAATATCTACCTGTGCGACAAGTCGGTCAATTCTGTCCCATGGTAAGCGCTTGCCTCACTAATTCATCACCAATCCAGTTAGCACCGACTGCTGAGACACAATAGTGGTGGTTATTTTCTCCATAAAGATGTGAAATTAACAGTTGAGAGTGTAGGTTTGGCTGCTTCTGGGTCTTCTGGAAGACCAACTAAAGAGCCCTGCTCGCCTCCCATACATTGTATGTTCATCCCTTCAGTTCCACTATCCACTTTTGGGCAATGAAGCAACTGAAAGGCTATTAAGCTAAACCTTTGTCCCAACTAATCCGCTATTTTGGTGTTGTCTTACTTTCTACCTGGGTCATCCTCACACTGGTAGCAATTGGGCCTTTAGTGACTTGATCTGTGAGATACTTACCTATCGTATCTAAGTCAGTAATTCGCCTAATTGTTGAAGATAAGTCGCAAGTTTTTGCCACATTGCTATTCTTAAATTAGAAGAAATACTATCTTCTGTCGAGCTATTATTTCATCTACTCCTTTAACACTGGAATCCTGTTCACAACACTGCAGCAGAACAAAGAACTGGAAGTTTTCATTTTACAGTGATGATTAGAGTGACCACGATAGCGTGCCGCTTTAGATTTCAGTAGATTGTTACAATAGCTAACTAGCCCTGTCATCTCTTTTTATATCGCTGAATTTTGAGTGGTGTGTTAATGCTAACCTTACCGCTTCTTAAAAATTGAACGGCTTTTCTAGTACAATATCTCTTCCGCCTTTGATTGTCAACTTAATGGTCCCTCCATTTTGCCTGAATCAGTTGCATACTGATTTTTATGGGTCTTTATGCAATTCCGTGACTCCTAAACCCTCTTGGTTTGTGAGACAATTTACCTTTGTCTTGAGATTATTCAACTTTACAATAGAAACTACTTTCCTTTTACTTTTGGAGAGGAATTTGACCTTTACAGATTGTGTTCCACTTGCCATTGTTCTTGGAAGGCACGAGAGCTATGTGGAATGAGAGTAATTGCCGTCGACATACGCAGACATAATTAATGACTGAGAATGGTATGGTGGGTCGGAGTGGGAAAAGGGGGTGGTTGGCCGTTTACCCAGCTCCACCACACTTCCGCTGTTAATATCCCTCTCTTCACATCTGCAGTCAGATTTTGAACAGTGAATCAAAACAAGTTATTTATGGGAACATGACGCCTTTTACTCTCTTGTTTAACTGTCCGTATGTTGCTTCTGGTCTAATTTTAGCAGAACTATCCGGATTGTTCTATTTTTACTCGGTGGGCCTTTCTCGTTCATTCAAATGGTATTCAGATGGTTAAAAGTCCGCAGAATATGTTTCGGTTGCCATTAATTGTGCTTTTCTTTTCACTTGACACAAATTTTTGAAGATGGCAGCGTAGTTACTCTTATTCCTTTCATTTTTTTAAATGGATGTGTGGAGGTCTTCTTCCCTTTGGTGGTGACCGTAGTGATTATGATGGTGGAGGTGAATAGGTGCGGCGCTGAAATTACGAGGTTGCGATCTTAATAATGACGATGCTAAAGGCAATGTTAAGGATTGTGGTTTTGGCAGCTCTGGGTCCAGATGCTTCAAAAATGTAGGTGCTGGTGCTCCACCTCTGACTAAAAGGTACCCACTTTAACGTTGGCTGTCAGAAATTGCTGATACAATGCCGGCTGATAGCTATCAGGATAAATTGAGGAAAAAAAATAGAAAAATTGACCCTTACGACTCAGATATTCTATCTCTTTAACCTGGCATTAGCTACTACTTAGTTTTTTTCCTTCTTTCCCTCACATTTTGATTTAAGCGGGCACGTCACAAATGTGTGACATGTGGGCATGGATCAAATGAAAGGAAAAAAGCAATTATGCACCGCTGATGTAGTGGGTCCTTTACCAACCTCTTAACATCCTTTTATTCGTGAGAAACGTGATGCTCATTTTTAAATCACCACTTTTAGCAAGTGTCCGATTTTGTTTTAGAAGACTCGGCTTCCCGATTTACAAATAAAGTTGGCCAAAACCCTGTTCCTGTTTTACTATTTTGAACTGGGTGAGAGACTACCTTTTGCTCAAAGTAAATTGCAGCAAAATGATCTCAAATATTAAGAGTCTGCTTGATTGGGCGAAATCAGTAGTTAAGAATTCAATCTGAAGCTTCTTTTATCATCTCCTCCTCCCTCCCCCCTTAGTCATACTCTCTATGAGGTGCCGGAAGAGTCAGTGCAAAGGATCATGGTCCCAGGCAACGATAAAGCAGCTGGTGAAGCACGATTTCTCTCTGTCGTCGGATTAAACAAAGACAGTTTCGCCCGAGGTCCCATTGACGTTGCCGGTGCCTCTTTAGTCGTCCATCTCACCCATGAAACAGAGGTGAGTCGCTGTAAAACGTCATCTTTGTTAAAAACTTATGCACAGTGTTTTTGACAACTGGAACATTCTCAATTGCGAGGGATAAGGCAAAATCTCGACTTGAATGCATTTGTGGTGTTGGTAATATCTGGAGTAGAGACAATAATTTGCGGTGTAAAGCCGCAAGTAAACTTCTTTGGTAAAGAGTCGTTTTCTGTTTCCCTTGTGTTACCACCGTACTTCCTCCTGCTTTAGCTAGTGCAATTGCCTACCATGAGGTACCATTCAAGTGCGGAGATATTCGAATTCTGCAGGTGTTTTTAGCACCAGAGAGGTACCAGCACTTACTGACAAAAAACCGAGTTTTATGCGGGCGTATAACCTCTTAAGTTCAATCGCCAACATGTTTTTATTATCACCTGGATTGTGTTGATACGGACCGATTAGTTACATTTCCGATGCAAGTGTTCACCTTTCCATTTGCCGTGCTACTATTCACACTGTTGGCTTCTTGACGTTAGCTTTCACCTTTAATGTGATATATTTAATTGTGAACACAGCCACTTGTGAACCACTCTTGGAGAGGTGGTGGTGCGTAAAGTATGCTTTAAAAAATTTGCGTCATATTTTGGGTCTTGTGCTTACCACCTCCTACTTGGACGTCTTTGTACTGATCGAGCATCGATGTAGTTGAATGGCCCTTAGAGGTGGGGAAGAGTGCGGTCTAATGCTCAGTTATTCCTAGGGGACGCTGCAATGCATACATCTCTGATGGCATCCAAATTACCAACGCACTGAAGGGGTAAAAGGCCAATGCTTGCCAGTCAAATAAGTTCGTGAGAGATTCTTTGTAGTAAAAGCTTCGTAAAATGGTTTTATCCATTGTGACACTCACTCTTAATCTATCCTCCCATCCCAAAGCGACGCAAGATTACCGCAAATATCGCCTTTTTATGCAGCTTTTTGCTTCCAGAGACCTACAGCTGTCTCGTAGCCACCTCCATTCCTGCCTCTTTGTGTAAGCTAGTTGCCACAATATTCACCACGTTAAACCTCGCTGGCGGTTGTTTTTGACCCGTTAACCTCGAGACATTCTTTTTTAGAGCAGCAACAAATTCTCCTTACCAGTGTAGACTCAAGAGTCTTCCTAAACATTAAAACTTTGGGTGATTTTATCACCAGCATCAAACTGTAAGAACTAGTTCTCGAAGTTAAGTTTTCTTTGGACCCAAGACCTTGGCTGTTGATTATTTTCTCTTGGTTATTTATCGTGGAGAAAATAACCACTTTTTCCAGTGGATGGTTTCTGGTCATGAAAAGGGATCTGCTAACTGAGAAATCTTTTTACAGAGGAAATTTTTTGCTCCACTCTGTTTTGAATATGCAAATCTTACGGCAAGGATGAAACCTTCTTTGTAAGCAGGGCTCTGACTGCTTTTTATTAATACATAGGGTTCACTCATGTTTGACTTGATAAACAACATGAATGATCGACAGTTGCAGTGGAATGGAACCAAGAGCAGAAGTGCTATATCTCTACCTCGGAATCGGAGTCGTGCAACCTTCTTCCGTATACCTCTCTCATTTAAGGATTTTCACTTCGGCCCTGCTCTACCAGCTCCTTCCATACGCATCGATCCGGGCTCATGCCCTCCCGATTCTGGTAAGCCCGAGTCTGGAACCATTTTCAGAAGGTGGATCTTTGATCTTTGATCCAATCAACTTTTCATTGGTTGGGTAGATGTCAGCGCCATTGCCCGATTTCTTTGTCTTAACCTATGCCATTTTTATTGTAGACCTTGTCGGTGTAATAATCTTCGCCCTACCCTGGGATCACCAAGTTCATCACCATCGATTCAAGTAGGTGGTGCTGCTGTCAAGATTTCTTCTTTAAAGGAAATAGGCATCCATGTTTTTATTTTTTTGTCAGCCCTAGGCTTCCGGCGAAATTTTACATGCAGACCATCAGCCCTCTACCAGAGAACTACACTAATTTGACGACACCCTTCGTGGATGTCATCATTGATCCGCGTTGTGACAATACTGAGGTCCACTTCTCATATTCCTACTCCCATTGGATATTCCAGGTAAACGCAAAATTTGCTTTTAGGTAAAGTAATTTTATTCAGCTAATGTTTCGCACTGCTGTAGAGCTGATTAAGGTGCTTTGGGGTGGCCTTGTATTTGGCTTGTGCTCATTAGATGCATTGCACGCAGTCACAAAGGTATTTGTCAACTTAGGTGCGTGAAAAGCTGCCCAAATTGTCAGTACCCTGCATTTGTCGATCACCCACTGCATCCACTCTCTCGGTGTTGGGTCTAGGGAAATTGCTAATGGGTAGTCCTAAATATTTTAGAGAGGAAGTGCTGGAATACTTAAACACTTTTTGAAGCGAGAACAAAGCTTTGCTTCATTTAAAGAGTCAGCATCAAAGTAGTGTCGGTTGGCTTTCCCGACTGCTTTATTGTACTAAGCAACACTAGAAAGACGCTCAATTAGATTCGTTTATCAGTAAAATGTGCAACTGCTAACCTGGAAATATCCACTCTGCATCCTTTATGTTTCGTGATTTTCACACATACGATTTAAAAACCTCATTCTCCATCTTTTCGGAGAAATATGTCACTGTTTTCTGCCAAAATTTCAACCTTAAGTTCACAGTGATATCAATCACGCATTTGATAATGGGGAAATTATTTCAAGTGGGGGTAAATGTTCATTGACGTAGAAGTGGTTGAATACTTTAGGACCAAGTCAGTTGAGTGTCAGGCGTCCGTCCATTCTAGCCAGCGTTCCCATTCCCCGACCTCTCTCTACGAAGTCATTCTGTGTTGTCATTCCTTCATGCCAAAGATCTCCATAGTAACAATGCCCTCAAGTTTCGGCAAATTATTGCACTAGATAACTGTTTTTAAGACTCTGTTACCTTAAAACTCCACTTTCTGCCTGGAAGACACTAGAAGGGTATTTTTGGCTCAAGAGCATTATTTTCTTACCTAGCGCCTTTTCGTGAGAAGACGTAGTAGCTCTAATCTCAAGAAAGGCATAGTCCTCTTCATCACTCCTCTTAGTTCCCTTTAAAATCTACTTTGCTAGTTGATCTTGGTTACTACTACTGTCCATGGTGCTTGCTTGAATGTGCGCCCCATCCTTCATTGTCATGACAATCGAGGGTGTGCAAAAGCGTTGTCATGGTCACATTCCACTGAAATCTTAAACATGTGTCTGGAACTTTTTGCCACCAAGTTTGATTTTTTATCTTTACGGTCAATTTTGAACCGATCTGTACGCTGATTTGCCCTCGTTTAATTGTAGCATCTGAGCTGTCTTGGAGGGAGAGTCGGGAAGTAGCCTTTTTTATTTGTCTTTGACATGGGCGCAACTTCCTGCCACCAGCGTGAAGGTCAAATCTTGGAGGGCTGAAAGGCATGCACAAGCAGTGCTTTGAAATAGTAATGACATTTCACCGATAAAACGTCACACATCCTGATTTGCCAACTTTTATTTAGAACCCATTAATCACTATGGTAATGAGACGAGACCTGTTTTGAATCTTACACTTCCGCTTGAATCATTCGCGGCAACTTTTATTTGTTGCAAGCAAACCCACCTC